TCCAATTATGCATTGTAGCGGCCAATACCTTGGCCATCTTAGTAATTGGGCTACCGGACGCGGGCTTATGGCGGTATTGAGGTGTCCCACCTATAAAAACCACCATTGCCGCTAACAATGCCACCGTTGGGATCATATAGCCCACACCCCATCCGACATTATCTTGTATATACACCAAAAATGTGTTTGAAAATAGGGTACCAAAATAGATGCTAAACATCCACCAATTGAAGAATGTGAGCTTTTGAGCTTTTTCTTTTGGTTCAAAATCATCAAATTGGTCTGCACCCATTGTGGAGATGTTCGGTTTGGTTCCACCAGTTCCAACCGCAATAATGTACAATGCACAGTAAAAAATACCAATTTGGAAAGACGAAGGTCGTTTATCACAGTCGAGGTAACTTATGTTTTTACCACAAGATGGTGGTTTTAGCGACGGTATGGTGACCACAAGCGTCAATAAGCTCATTCCCTGTGTCGAAAAACATGAAACGACTTGACTCGATTTTCACGACTCAAAACTCATGAAAAATGGTGAAATTTTCTTACCACAAGGTAAATAACGGAAGCAACCATGAAAGTCCAGTATCGGCCAAGATATGTGTCCGCAATATAAGCACCTAAAATAGGTGTAATCCAGACTGTTCCAACCCAATTCGTGACACTGTTCGATGATTTCACGGTGCCTTCCTTCATTTCACGTGTCAAATACAACACTAGATTTGTCGCTATTCCATAGTATGCCATTCTTTCACACACTTCATAGCCTGCAAACGTAGGATATGCTTTAAATTATTTATAAATGTTGGTATTTTCGACTTTTCGTTGCTAAGTTTTAAAACTCTGTCACTAAAATCAGTGATGAACTTTTCACAGCTGCATAATCCGTCGCTATGACCAAAATTCTAGTGGAGTAACGAGTTAATAAATGTATAAAGATAGAAGAAACTAACCGAGCATAAAGTAACAGGCTTTCCATCTCCCGGTGGCTGGTCTGAGGACAGGTCTTCCGTTAAGATTTGTAGTCCCGTCTTGTGTAAAATCTTCTCGTAGCCCAATTTCATCCGCTGCTTTCAAAACCATGATATTCGGTTATGGCATGCACGTATACACACAAACAGATTGAGGTTTTAGATGATATGTGTGTTGATAGAAGTTTACTTTTTATAAGCTTATACGATTGCTAGATTCCAATTTTTAGTTCAAACTCTTAATATAATATAATATGGAACTAGTTGTCGTGTATAAACACTAATCAAACTCGATTATGCAAGTTTTTGGCATTTCCATTACTCCTATTTAATTGGAATCAACTATCATACATACAAGCGTGTTCGGCACAAAGCTTTTGAAAGCTCTTAGTTTTTTATTTTTGTAAAATAAAGAAAAAACTCCATTCGTTGAGTTTTTAACTTTTATTTTAAACAAAAAGATGTTAATCCAAAAGCTAGTACTTATGCACAAATAAAAGCTATAACTTTTAGTTCGAGGCTAGTAGCTAACAGATACTATATTAGATACTGGATGCCAAATACCAAATATCATATATCGGTTACTAGCTTCCAGCTATCAGTTATGTTATAGGTGACCTACGATCCTACTCCCGGACTTCATCTTGTTGAAAGAAAAAGGAACTAATTTAGCTTGTAAAATGCCTATATTTGAAAAATCGATTTCATTCATAAAAAAATTTGTAACCTCATAAAAGGGTTTTAATTCGTACAAGATAGATTGCGGAGAATTTTGGGTAATGAACAACTTCAGAAACCTTCGCAAAAGAAGAGAATATGTTTGTAAAAAAAAATTCAGCTCAGAAGAGTGTTTCCATTGGTTTTGCGAATTTGGAAAAGTGGAATGACAAGCCGTTGCAAGTAGATAATCAAAATGATTTTTTTATTTTTTTATTTTTTTTTTGTTTTAGTTCTCTCATTTTCCAGAATAGATGTCATGTCATAGTCAGATGTCTTGGTGACCGGTTAAATCTAATATAGCCCGTCCAAATTATTTTAATCGATACTGTTTAAAACCGTGTAATTACGTATGAGCAGGCTAGCAAAACGGCTTTTTTTAGTTTGTGAGTATGACTTTCTTTAATGGGAGCCTTGGTTCATATCATTTCATTGCTATAGCATGATACTTTTTAACGGGGGTCGTAGAGTTCTAATCTGTTTTGAAAGACGATCGGTTGAAACTGTAATTCAAATGATCAGACATCTTCCCTAATAAATAAACATCTTTTTGCCACTTGTCAACTTATTATGCAATTGGACATATGTCATTTTCTTGATTTTTTTATTTATCTAATATTCCACTTGTCAATTTGTTATAATGCCACCTAAACATATATAATGAAGATGCATGTTATTGACAAACACACGTATATACAATGTTTGATTTGATTTCCTAAATATCAGCAAATCAGAATTATAATGGCATTTTCTTGATTTCCTAAATATTAGTCCATATATAAACCAAAACATACGTTTGATTTTATAATTATAGGAAAACTATGTCTATATTTTTGGAACCTGTAATCACACACCACTAATAATGAATTACATTCAAATTTCACATTAATTCAATTTCTATTACCATATATATGTATACTTTACGCTGTGAAAAAATAATTCAGAAAATCATATGATATATGCTAATATATGCCGATATAAATTCCATATATATGTATATTTTATAGTATTTAATCTGTTTTGCATCTCAAAATCAAGATTACTTTGCCGCTTTTGATATTGTTTCTTCTGCAAATTCATCGTCGCCTACAACAACTGCTAATAAAGGTTATCTCTTATGTTTCGTCTGTGTGTTCTTTCTTTGCGTATAACAGGTTCTGATAAAGATAGACTTAAAGGTGCAAAATATCAAAAGTTTTTTAGCATCCTCTTTAGTTTTTTTTCACTAACTTTTTGGTTAAATTTCTCTCCTAAATGGGGAGATGTGCTGGAAGTGGATTGCAATTGTCACTATTTTCATAAACAAGCGGCCTTAAGTTTTTCAAGGATATTATTGGAGTATATCATGCTGTTTTGGGAGGTTTTTCTGCTAAACGTCATGGTGTCCCTATCTACTGCTTTGGTTTTTTGTATGCACTTATAAGTATTTTTGGTATCTTTGTATTTTAGTGGTGGTGAAGTATAGACGCAGTTGCCCATGTCCTTGGGTATATCACCTTTTTTTTTTTTTGTCTTCAAGGGTATTTCGGGAATTTGTGGGTGTTGCTTGGACATACGTTTCAGTTTTCCTTTGTCTAACTTCGTTTACAAAGGTTTGAAAGAAGCTTTTTTTTGAAAAATGGTTGCTTTGGCAATTGTTATTTTTTTAATTTTTTTAATTTTATTTTATTATTATTATTTTGTCTATGGTATGAAAATGGTAGCAATGAATGTTTGAAAGAGACAAATACAAAATCACCTTTTTTTTGTCTTTAAGGGTATTTCGGGAATTTGTGGGTGTTGCTTGGACATACGTTTAAGTTTTCCTTTGTCTGACTTTGTTTACAAAGGTTTGAAAGAAGCCTTTTTTTGAAAAATGGTTGCTTTGGCAATTGTTATTTTTTTTTTTTTTTTTTTTTATTATTATTAAGGATTTTGTCTTTGGTATGAAAAATAGTAGCAATGAAGGTTTGAAAGAGACAAATACAAAATCATCTTTTTTTTTCTTCAAGGGTATTTCGGGAATTTGTGGGTGTTGCTTGGACATACGTTTGAGTTTTCCTTTGTCTGACTTCGTTTACAAAGGTTTGAAAGAAGCCTTCAATGAAAAATGGTTGCTTTGACAATTTTTATTATTTTATTTTTTTATATTATATTATTATTATTATTTTGTCTATGGTATGAATAATGGTAGCAGTGAAGGTATGAAAGAGACAAATACAAAATCTCACTGATGTCGTCTAAAAAGAGATCAATACAGTTGCCAAGGCTGTAATATAGTTTCACAATGTTGCAACTCCTATGAATACTTTGTTTCTCGCTGCTTAAATCCTCAAATTATAAAAGGGTATTTCGGTCCTTTTATAGATTTTGATGTATTAAGGATTTGGTGTAACAAAAATATACTCCTTTTTATTTCAATTTTAATATATATTCCAAGTTAGTGTGGATTAGTTTCTTTTGGTAACATGCAGGGGAGAAAAGGAATCGGTTACTCCATTGAATTAGTTGCTTATCATTCTTAATTTTTTCAATATAATAATCATAGTTTTTTATATTTCTTTTAGAGCTCATGGATCCAACCGAAATCACAATGATTAATGATCTAAGTCTCTCAAATGACAACTACACAATTAAGGTCCGAATAATCAGGCTTTGGAAACAAACAACTTGGTCGAAACCACATGAGACACGACAAATCGGAATGATTTTAATGGATGAAGAGGTATTTAAAAAGAATTGCTTTTAAACTATTTAATAATTTCATAATATCATATAATTAGTTATACAGTTTCCACTTTCAGAGAAGACAGTTTCCACTTGCTGTATGCTTTGCGATGACAATAAACAAAAGTCAAGGACAGTCGCTATCAAATGTTGGTTTGTTTTTGAGACAACCAGTGTTTACTCATGGACAGTTGTATGTTGCATTGTCTAGATTTAAAAGCAGAGACGGATTGAAAATATTAATTTTAGACGATGAAGGTAACATTACCAATAAGACATCTAATGTTGTATTCAAAGAAGTATTTGGAAATCTATAATTTCTAACAATTATTTAGAATATTTTATTAATGTTTTTTTTTTGTGTAATTTACGTTCCATTACATATGATTTTCTTTTGTAATCTGGGTTCAATTATATATACTTACACAATAAAGTCGTTACTTATAAGTATTGTATTACTTTAATAATTGGTTGGTATTCAAAAAAATTTATTAATTTTTTTTAACAAACTCGTGTAATACACGGGTTTTACACCTAGTTAAAATAATTAAAAAGGATAAAACAGTCTACGGTGGACAGGTGGCAGTAGAAGACCCCACGCCCATCATTCTCCCGTTTCACTCCGAACTCAACGGTCACTAGCCCTTTTCAAAAACATGAACCCTAATACCCCCAAATCCAAAAAACCATAAACTTGACCGTTTATCTGCTTTTCTTTTTCTCATTCCGTCTATGGAGACCCTTTAACAATTCGATTCCTCAAACACCCATTAGAAGGCGGACGAACCCCCTTCAAATCTCTGTAAATTAAGAACAGAGAGACTCAGTGTCGATCTGTAATGGGTTGTTTTATTGGGTGTTTCGGTGGTTCTTCCAGGGATCAGAAACGTAAAAGACAGAGGTACAAGGTGATTCTTCGAGATCAAGTAAGTTTAATTCAACACCCTTTACAGTTCAATTTATTCCATTATTGTTTGATTAACTAGAAAACGTAAGAAACCCTTGTTTTTTGAGTCGAATTGTGGGATTAATTCGAGATTTTGACTTTGAGTTTAGCTTGAGAGTTGAGAGTATTTAATTTGCCACTTTCTGTAGCAGAAACCTAAAATTGAAAACCCTGTGAAAGCTGATGCATCTTTGGGACAAAGCATCATAGAGAGTCCCTCGAATTTATTTCCAGAATCAAGGTAATTTCTGATGTAATTGTGTTCGTGATTTTGTTTAAAAGCTCTATGTTTATGTGTTATGTTCTTGATTTTACTTTTGTGTTTCGGGTTTCTACTATGATTTTTAATTGTTATTGGGATGTAGAGAAAAGACGGAGGTCCCATTGAGGTTGAAGAGAAGGAAAAAGGTTACGTTTGATACAAATGTGACAACCTACGAGCATATTGAAGTGTATGATAGTACTGAATCTTTATTGGAAAATAACGAAAAAAGTGAAACTTTTCCTAAATCAACCCAAAACGTCAAAGATGATTCAGTTGTGTCAAACATACCAAACTATAGGTATGGGAATTGCCTTGAAAGTGATGATGAATTTGAAGATTTAGATCATGAAGAATATGATTTGGATGGCGATGATGATGATTTGGATGATGATGATGATGATGATGATTTGGATGATGAAGAACATTATGATGATAATAATGAGGACATGAAGGTACAAAATAGGAATGGTTATGTTCTTTCTGTGTTGAACCCCGTAGAGAATCTTAGTCAATGGCAAGCTTTGAAATCGAAAGGGAGACCACAAAAACCATTGATTTTTAAAGAGCAAAAGGAGAATTTGTCTCTGAATACCAAATCATTAAAACACAAGAACTTGAATCAAGAAACATCAGTAGACGCCAGTCTATCGAATTGGTTGATTTCTTCACATATAAACATACGGAACAACAACAAACCAATATGTTGATATGGTTGTGGGTATAGAGGGCAAAAGGGTAATTTGGCAGAATACCTTAAAACTGGAGGTAAATAACTGGATTAAAATTCTATTGTTCTTGTGAATTACATGTATTTTTGTTAGGAAAGTTTGTTTTTTTTTTTAAACCAGTCTAGTGGGTATGTTTTGTGGGTATGGACCATGGAGGATAAGAAGGTAAATTTGCAGAATAATTTGTTTGAAACTTGAAGAAAGCTTTGGGTATGGAGGGTAAGAAGGGAATTTGGTATGAAGAGAAAGTCATTGAAGACCACTTTGTGAGATTGGTTTGGGTCAAGTTTTTTATTTATTTATTTTTTTTATTTTGATGTTGTGAATTTATTGGTTTTACTTTTAATTTCTTATTTGTTTTCTGGTGATTATTGTAATACAAAAATTCAATATATTATTTTGGTTAATTACTTATATAATCAATATATATTTTAGATGCGCACAACCAAATCTGAAATCTCTGAATTTGTTTTCCGGACCCGGTTAAACCTCGTCTCGAAAGAAGAACATTGTATCTTGTCCGTGGGGGGCACTGATGATTAGTTATATGACCGGGTCAGATTAAACTCATCAAAAATTTGTCATTAATATCATTTAAGACAGATATAATATTGAATTTTAATATAAAAAATTAAACATAATTAGAAATAATAATCAATATCTTATCATTGTTTATGGAGGATTTTTATATCTTAAAAACAATTATATACGAAGGATTGTCAATCAAATTAAGTTGATGCATGTTGATATATGGGTTGATTAAAACAAAATATTAAATACGAAGGATTAAACGGAAAGTTTATTTGAATTTGAAATTTGAAATAAATGAAAATTATGAGAAAAAAATAAAAAAGACATGCGAAAAAATTAATTAATTAAAATTATGTGTTTAGTTGCCAAACCCGTGTACTAAACGAGTTAACTATAACAAAATATTAAATACGAAAGTTTAAACTGTAAATTTATTTGAAATTAAAATTAAATATCAAATTTGAAATTTAAAATTAATAATTATTATGGTATGTTTAACCTATAGTTACTAAATTAATGATACATTGGAAAATGACAAATAAAGTAAATGATAAGTGGAAAATAGATATCTCAAAATTATGATAAAATGACATGTGGTCAGTTGAATGAGAGAACGACATGTGATAGAATGGATTTTTATTTATTAGTATAGATATAGCTATACAAAATTTGAAACTTAATAAAGTAATATACTATAACTATTACTTAGGTTTTTTTTTACTATTACATATAAGTTAAAATCAATGTTTCTATTAAAACTTAAAACTTGAACCACGAGTGTATATGTCACCGCTCAAGAGACCATAATTCAACACTCAACAACCAATAACTTATTTTATTTGTAGGAATTTGTATCTATTAAAGTAATGGCAAACAAGAATCATATTTATAGGCATAAATGATGGGGGTTTCTTATTTTCTGCATAGAAGAAACCGAGTAGGAGGAAGAAAGAAAGTTAATCTCTCTCTCTCTCTCTCTCTCTCTCCGTACATCTCCTTTTTTCTATTTTTTGTGCCGCTTTGTAGAAGACAGAAGAAAAGCTATGATTTGGGGAACCTCTTGAGGGCCTGCGATTCTCATCCCATTTTCATTGAGGGCACACTTTTAACTAAGAGAAATTTTGATGATAATATAAGCCCATTAATGGACAAATTTTCCAAGTGTTCACGTGTCCCCACCCCAGCCTTACTAAATCTGCCCCTGAAGAAAATAAGGTTAATTTGGCATGACAGGCCAACCAACCACGAATCGAGTGTATATATATATATATATATATATATATATATATATATATATATATATATATATATGTATATATGTGTGTGTGTTTAAAAAAGATAAAGTTAACGGTTAACGTTTATAATAATAATTAATAAGACACATTTCTTTTAAAACACATCTTAAATCAATTTTATAAATATAAACTACAGAAAAGATGGTTACTTAATTGAAACAAAAAAAATTTGGGATCAAAATCACAAAAAAGTTAAAAATACCATCTTTTATGCAAATTACCCTAAATTAAATCCAAAAAAAATGTAAAATATAAATCAAAAGGTAAAAAAAGTCATTGCAATTTTAACGGGCCCAAATCAACAACCAAATTATGCCAATTACCAATATGACCAAATCCACAATTTTAAATGTAATTGGACCGTATCTAAAGAGATTAGCAAAACCATAAGGGCAAGTTTTACAATTTTCTCAAACAAATATCAATCTACTAAATATTTATTTACAAAAATGAAAAGTTAAATACCATTAAATATTAAAATACAATTAAAATAAAGAAAACGTCGTTCAATGATAAAAAATTGATAAAATTGCAAAAATGATCATTGCTATTATTTTCTTAGGAAAATGGCTAAATCATTCAACTTTTTGATTGGTGGTCCTTATCATCAAGCAAGTATGTTTGAGGTTTTAGTTATTGTCCAAACTTAAAAGACTATTATATCGTTAATATATTTATTTTTTATTTTTTTCATTTAATTTTTAAAATTATTATTATTATTAAATATTAAATGGGCCCATATACCCACTCTATCCTCTCCCACCTCATCATCTCATCATCATCATCATATGTAAATCCTAAGGTTGGTGGGTGTGGACAACATATTAACAGGTGTTATCACATCCAAAAGTTGTCATCTCACATGGCATGTCATCCCATGGTGTTATAATATCAAATGAGAAAATGGACAACATGTTATAACACCCATTAAATTCAATGTCATTATTTATTATTTATTATTTATTTAATTTTTAATATTTATAAAAATAAAATTAATTTGAATAAACATGTTATTTAAATAAAACCTAATTAAACATAACATTTAAAAATCTAAAAAAACATTACAACAAAAAACAAATAACATTAAAAAAATAAAATGTTGCATGGGTGGAACGAATCAAACAGATCCATTTTTTTTCTGGAAGTATTGAAAGTTTATGAAATAGATAAAGAAAATAAAGTGTTGATTAAAATAAGATATAGATATATATATATATATATATATATATATATCTATATATATATATATATATATATATATATATATATATTCAATTTGACCGTTCAACGGTCGATAGAAGGAAAAGTTAAAGAAAAAAGCGTGTTGCAGCTCGTTACCATCACCACGAAACACGACTTAGGCTATGAGGAGTGGACTCGCCAAGGGGCTCGCTAGGACAAGGAACATCGCCCTTAGCTCTCGCTAGGGGACTCACCAAGGGAAGGTCGCTACGGACATAGCGAGAGGAGAGAGAGGGAAAGGGTTTGTTGTGATTTGTTCTCCCATGTTTGATCGGATTACACTTTGGTTTTGACCATTCAAACCTAGAAAATCCCTTTACTTCCTTTAATTAAAAAAATGTTTTTTACCTATAACATTCAAAATTTCAAATTATAATTCAACCACTATAAATTAAACAACACTCTCAACATTTCACACACACAAAATATTATTACTTCTCTCACAAATACTCTCAATTTACCAAACAAAAATGTCTTCATCTACCCAAAACAAAACAAAAAAAAAATCTTCAAACCTTCCATCACTAAACCTTCTATCTTCAAAACCTTAATCACCAAACCTTCCATCACCGCCATGTTATTGACCTTCATTTGATCAACCAATTCATTCACCCACTAGTTACTACTATCTTACGATGGATCTACAAATGTTTCCATTCAAATAGTACTCTTCTCAAGCCATGCCATTTTACCCAAACCAACCCCAAACTAATTTCCAATCTCAACCAATACCTCGTCCAAATTTAGATCTTGATCTGTTTGAGACGGCTTAAGAAACCTAATTCTTTTCATAACCTCAACCCCAAACTAATTTCCAATCCTAACCACACCGCTTACTCGATGAGTCAATCGATTCTTCCGATGAAGGAACCGTTCAAGAGTTGTTTCAAGAGCCCGTAGTTGAACCAAAAGGAAAATTTAAAGGAAAAGGGAAAGCTCCATGCAAAGGATGGACGAATGATGAAGAGAGGGCATTATCGCAAGCATGGTCAGATGTGTCGGAGGATCCGGCGAAGAGCGACGACCAAGATTTAAAAACCTTTAAAAATAGAGTTTGGATTTGTTTTATGTCTGAATGAAAAAGGAGTACCACAATCCTAATCAACTTTACTCGAAATGGAGGACCGCCAACAAAGCCTCAATGGAGTTCAATCGCGACCCGCAACCCCCAAAACGGTGCAAATGAGGTGGATGTCCTATCAAAAGTTCGTAAGATTTATAAGGCGAAAGTCGGAAAACCTTTTGGCAATGAGGCTTTTGGGGGAGTTGCGAAGGACAAACCAAAATGGCTTAATCTGAAAAGTGTTGATGATTACGCGGGCATGCCAAAACGAAGCAAAACTCCCGAGTCAACCCACAGTCAATCTTCTGATGTGCGTATCGGGGGGATTGGCCTTAACAAAGAAGATCCATATGAAGCTCCAACTCATCCTATGGGATGAGACAGAGCAAAAAGAAAGGTGAAAGGATCACAAAGTTCATCAAGTGAAGTAGAGGAGATAAGGAGCGACATCCAAGGGTTGGACGCTAAGCTTGATGGTTTTTTGGAATTGGGAAAGGAAAAAAAAACATGCACTAAAGCTTTTCTTAAACCTAGGAAAGAACCTGCGCGAGGAGGATCGTCGGATTTTCAATAATGCAAGGAAGGATATTACTAAACAATACAAGTGAGATAAGCCGTAGTATTTTTATGTCTTAGATGTAGTTTTAATTTATGTTTTGAGTCTAGTAGTAAGTCGTGTTGTAGGTTTTAAGTCAAGTTTTTAGGTTTTAAGTAAGTTTTTAAGTAGTAAGTCACGTTTTAATTTTTTAATCGTATTTTATGTTTTAGATTATTATAACCTTTTTTTTTATTAATATTAAGTATTTGACTTCAAAAAAAATATAATTTATGCAATATTAAACTTTGTGTATTAAAAAAATATAATTTATTTTAATCTGAAAAAAAAACATATAATTAATTTAAATTTGAAAAAAAAATCGTAAATGAAAAAAACACAATTTATTTAAATTAGAAAAAATCATATAATTAATTTAAATTTGAAAAAGAAAATTGTAACGCTTGTGTTTGTGGTTAAGCATTAATAAGATGATGTAATAGTTAGGTTCAACAATTACATATTTGATGTAATGAAGGAAGAAATATTTGAGTATTATGTGATTTATGTGTAAATTATTTGTAATATACGTGCTTATAACGATATAATAAAATAGGAATAAAATATGCGTCTAAAATAAAATAATAATTATACCTAATATATTTGAAGAAAGTGGAAGTAGTCGTGACAAAGATTCTAGAGATATAAGGAACGCTCCAATACGACTTATAACGAAGAAGTTATGACCCATTGAAGTTTCGCGATTAAACAGGCACGACTTTGCGTATCGTAAAAAGTACATTTTTGACAAATTAATTTTTAGCCTTAGTGATATAAACGAAAGTCATAGTAGTTATTAAACTAAAATTTTACATAT